TCTCTCTCTCTCTCTCTCTCTCTCTCTCTCTCTCTCAGTATAAAGCATCTCATTAGGAATCGTCTTGAATCATGAAATGACATTTGGTGTAAAGGTTAAGTAGACCTTTTATTAACATGATCTCACCTGTTCTTTTTATTTTCCTAATGTGTCTACCAGAAATTTAAAGCTACACATGGCCAGTGTCCCAGCTTTGTGGGGGCCCTGTCAGGTGTCCCCTCCAGGCTCAGCCACCTGTGATCATCTCTGTCGGGGACCTCATGGCTGGGAGTAGATCTTGGGAGATGTGTTAACTGACTGATTACAAGTCCTTCGGGAGAACTCCTGTACTTTCCCAAATAAAGTGGAGTCACACCTGCTTAGTGGAGGTGTTCTTCAGGACAGGGGAGGGCCAGGGCTCCGTGGAGCATGTAGCATCACTTCTTTCTTCCCAGAAGTCACTGAACTTGACCTCAGAGAGCCCTGAAAAGTCAAGACAGCTCTGTCCCCTTTCCTGCAGAAATAGAATTCTGAGTCACAGGATTTAAGGACCAGAGAGTTACAGAGAATAAGGAGACAGAGCCTGGAAGAGCCCAGGACAGAACAGGCAAGGAGAGCAGGGGAGCAGGAGTGTGAGGGAGCACAGGAGGAAGAAGAGGGAATAAGCCCCCAGCCTGGAGGAGAGAGGGACAGAAGAGCAGCAGCCAGCACTAGAAGGAACAGCAGGGGGAGGGGCCAGCAGGAAAGGAGGGGCTGGCTGGAGGCTGGGAAAGCAGCAGGGAGGGGCTGAGGCCTGGAGGATAAAGCAGGACCAGCCTAGGCCAGTGCTGTGCCCTGGTCCTCTGCCCTCTGTGTCCTACTGCTCCAGCTCCATGTCCTATGGACATGGCCTCATCCCTGCATGTCCCTCTGCTACTCCTGGCTGCCCTGCTCTTGGGCCTGGCCATGGCCCCCATGGCTTTGGAGTCAGCTACAAAGAAACTTCGCCTAAGGGGGGAAATACAAGACAAAGACCCTAATGATGAAGAGGTCAAGTATGCAGTGGACTTCGCCCTCGAAGAGTACAACAAGGACAGCCAAGACCCGCACCTCTTCCGCTTGTCACGGGTGGTGCGTGTCCATCAGCAGGTGCGTGGTGGCTGGGACTGAGGAGGGCTGCCCAGGAAGTGCTGTCCACCTGCACACCCTGCTGCTCCTCTCCCTCTGCTCCCTGCACCCCCGTCCTGTCCCCACCCAGGTGGGCTGCGTGCTCTGCAGCCTATGGTCTTATCTAGGCATCCTCCCCATGATGCACATCCTTACATTTCTCGTGGCATTTCTTGGTTCCTGTAGCCCTTGGTGATGGTGTCCCGTCATTCCACCCAAGAAGCCTGGCCTAGACCCTAGCAAGCTCTGTCTCACACCTGGCCCTTTGATCTAGTTCCAATCTCTCTGGCAGGGACACCAGGTGCCAGGCCAGGGTCAGAGTCCCCTGTGTTAATGCCTGCCACCTTCTTCACTGGGATCCGTGTTAACTATGAACCAAGTGACAACGCAGTAGGGACAGGGGCCCACACCTATTTCCTCCTTTCCCCAACTCCAGCCTCCTGTGCCCCAGCTCCCACTGTCACTATCTCAGGTCTGCAGAGTAGGCACTGTGGGAGCAGAGGATGTCCTGAGCCCTGTACCTGTCCCTCCTGTGGTCACCCTAAGCCACATGGGCATTGCTCCTGGCTCCCCATGTTTCATGGACCTATGCGTGGATTGAGTGGATTCCCCTGATCCTTGCAATGCCCCCCTACAGTGGCCATTGCCCACCCCTGAGGACCTGCTCTCTACACTCTTACACCCAGGACCAGGCTGACCTCCGGAAGCCACATTCACACTACTCAGTGGCCTCAGAGCCTCACGTGGTGGAGACGATGTCCACTGTCCTGTAGCCCATCCTGACTCAGCCTCCTCTCCCTGGGCAGCTGCTCTGTGCCCATGACCTCAGCCTGTCAAGGTCCTCCCAGCTGGGGACACAGTCCTTAGCCACAGAAGGAATCCTAGCAAGAGTACATGGATGTGAGGGTGCCCCTAAGACAACACTGGCTGTCCCATTGATGCACCTCTTTTTGTGTGTGTTCTCCATGACACCACACAATGAACCTCTGAGAATCCTGACAGTCTAGGGCATCTCCACTATGATCCTCAATGGTCCCTGTGGGCAGCAGGGCCACCTGCTGCCAAACCCCAGATAGGAGATACCGGTGTGGGGGACCAGGTCCCCAAGGGCTCAGCTGTGCTTTTTTTTTTATTTTTTTTTTCTTTTTATTTATGAGAGAGAGAGAGAGAGAGAGAGAGAGAGAGAGAGAGAGAGAGAGTGGTGTGTGTGTGTGTGGCCAGCTCAGCCCACCAGGGGGCGGGGCTGGCTGGCATGTGGTGCTGGGGGATTGAACCGCGGTCCCTGATGCCTTGCCAAGCTTGTTCTAAGTAGGTGCTTTAGACCACTGAGCCATCTCTCCAGCCCTCAGCTGTGCTTAATCTTCAGGTCACAGCTCTCCTGTAACAGTGTCCAGTGGGTCCTGTCAGGCACAGAGCCTGCTGGGCAAAGCCACCCTCCATCCTGGACAGAGAGTGCTGGCTCAGTGCCCTGGCTGCTGCCCAAGTTGAGCTCCCTTCCCAGGGCCCAGATCAGAGGGTACAGCCCAGGCTCCTACCTGGCCTGGTTCTGGTTTCTGTCTTGCTCTGGTGCACAAGACTGATCTTTGTAGCTCCCAGGAAGGGGACAGGTTGAACACAGGGCGGGGCCATCACACAGGATGATCTGGAGCAGAATGCTGGACTGGGTTTGGCCTGAGCCCTGGTAAGCACAGTGAGTCCAGTGTAGCCAGTAACTGCGACTGAGGTAGACGGAGCCCTGATTGAGTCCTGCTCTTCCATCCTAGGTGGCGACTGGCAAGAGCTACTACTTGGATGTGGAGATTGGCAGAACCACCTGTGCCAAGGACCAGCCCAACCAGGTTGACTGTCCCTTCAGTGAGGAGCCGGTATGAGCTTCAAGTGGGCAGGGGCAACTCAAGTAGTGTGTGTGTGTGTGTGTGTGTGTGTGCGCGCACGCACGTGTGTGTGTTTGGTTTATACTGTCTTATAGACAGTATGTGTGTTGGAGGATTGTGTGCACATGTGTGCATTGTGAGCACATGTGTGTGAGTGAAGAGATATGTGTTTTGTGGTACATATGGAAAGTTGTGGTACATGTGGAAAGTTGTATATATAAACACATGTGGGCCATGTGTGGGGATGAGTACACACGAGTCATGACAAGCAATAAATATGCACACGTGTAGACAGGTGAAAGTGTGCACCCATGTGAGCGATATGGGAGATGATTGTGTGCACATGTGTGCACTGTGAGCACATGTGTGTGAGTGAAGAGATATGTGTTTTGTGTTCATATGCGGGGACAGGTGAGTGTGAAAAGCACATGAGTGTGTATACACCTGCACATCTGTGCACACACAGGTAGCAGACCAGGGCTGTGTACACAGGATTGATGCAATGCCGAGTGGGACCCGGGAAGTGCCATACTGGGAGGTGACCCCTGCTTTTGGGGTGCTCCAACTGAGGAGAGGGGCAGCAGCAGGGATGGTGAGGAGGAAGAGGGCTCTGGGAGTCAGAGCCTTGCCCTGCCCACAGCCAGGCTGAGCAGATCACAGCTGGGAGGGCTGAGACCCCCACCTCAGCTTCAGATTCTCTTGACAGCAGGTTCCCTGAGGCCACATTCTGGGTGCTAAGTACCTGTCCCCTGGCCCACTCCACCTCTCTGGGTCCCCCGGCCCAGCTCTCCCTTGTGTACCTCTCAGTGTTGCCCTGGGCTGAGGTGGAGGAGCTGGGGCCATGAGCGCTGAGCCTTCCTGAGCCCTCTGGGCTCCTGTCCCTGCAGGGCTGCTCCCTGGGAGACACAGGGGATGAGGAGGACCTGGGATCCCTGAGCTGGAGACAGAGCCATACAAGGAATTCCCCTTGGGGTCCTCCCTCTCTCCTGAAGTTGCACTCACTGTCCCTCTCTCTCTTCCTTTAGCAGATGCAGCTCTGCTCCTTCGAGGTCTTCTTCAGGCCCTGGGAATACCTCATAGAACTGACAAGCTCCAAGTGTCACCAAGCTTAAGCTTTGTTTTGGCCAGACAACAACCATGACATACCAGAGTTCCTTGCAGTGTCCTCAGCCCTTTCTTGGAGACCAACCCGAGTATAGTCTCCTCCATGCCGCAGTTCCGGGGCTCAGGAGAGCAGGCTCCTCCAGGCTATGTGGACACCCATGACCTGTCCCCTCTTCGTTCCGCTCTGCTTCCTAGCCACACAAGTGGGAAGTGCACACAGCCACCCCTGCCTTGCTGAATAAAGGCTTGGAGCAGCTCCCTTGTGTGGCAGGGTCTTGGGTGCCAGGCAGGGCTGAGTGAGCTGTCCCCACGGCTCAGGACTGTTTCAGAGTCACAAAGTCTTCCTAGCATAACCACACACCAGAGATAGGGCAGGGCCTATACTTGTCCACATCACCCATTCCCATGGATTCTGCCCACTGTCCACCCCTTCCAGCTGTCTGCAATGCCCTGGCTCTGTTCTGGTGACAAGGCTTACAGAAGGTGACCCAGTCAGCCAGCTAGAGTGCCCTGCTCCACCCCAGCTCCAGTGACCATCTGAGAAAGGCCCTTGGCTCAGGTCCAGCCTTGGGGCTCCTGTGGCTCATGGTGGGCTTTTATTTGACTGCAGGCTAAGAGTCCCTTACGTGGAGTGCTCGAGGTCTCAGAGATCTGTGGGACTCTGAGAAACGCTTACACATGTGATGACATTTCCTGGGGATGGAACCCATGACTGAGCACCTTGTTCATGCACCCTGAAGCTAATTGTAGCAGTATGATTTATTATAGGAGGAAAGCTTGGACTTGAAGATCAGAGGCAGGACAGGGAAGAAAAGGATCTAGCTTAAGAGGCTGGGGAGGTCACCCTGATACAGGAGATCAGACTGGCCCTCCACACAGGAAGATGGCTGCTGTCCAGGACTGGCTGGTGTGCTGGGGTCTGGGTGCTCAGTTTCTCATTGTCTCAGTCCTAGCTCTAGAATCTGGATGGCTGCAGGACAGTTTCCTATCCATAAGACTGATTACATGGGGTCTCAGTCACACAGGACTTCTTTCCCAGGAATCCTGGTGATCAAGGTCCAGGACAGTGGCTTCAGGCTTCTGGAAGGAGTTGAATGTCCCTGTCAACCTCTCTGTCCTGGAGATGAGACCACACAAGTCCAAGGCTGACCAACCCAGTCCAGCCCAATCCTAAATGACCACCAGGCCCATGGCAGCAGAGAAGAGAGCTGACCCAGGTTTTACAGTGAAAGGGACCCAAAAGATGGTAGAGCTCTGTTGTGCTGTTGGCTATCAAGCCTCTGAAGCCCAAGTGAAGAACCATGGTTCACAGCTAAAGTGGCATAAGTCCCAGCCTGTCCCAGAGCAAAATGCAGACTCCACTGGTAGTAAGCAGGTATCAGTATCCTGGGGTCTGCCTGTCTGAGTCCCTATGATGGCCTCTGACTCTGTCATGACCTCTTTTCTCTCCTCTGAGAGAGTTTACCCACCTTAACCTTAAGGAGAAAGAGACAAAAGCTCTCTTATGTTCTCAATGTTCATAACCACTATACTCTCTGGTTATATTATCCCATGAGTGCTTGAGGCAGAGTATGCAACTGAAATAGCTTCATCTTTTTTTTTTTTTTTTTAGCTTCTTCTTACTGTTGAGGTCACTTAAGCTTTCTCAGGGGTTACTTCAGGGGAAGAGCCTTTGGAGCTCTTAGAGTCTTACTATTTGTGTCATCTGCCCAGATGGGACCATAGCCTAGTGTGACCATTTGGTGTCCTAAGAAGCACAAGGACACTGCCCTGTGATGACAGTCCTTCAGCACAATGCATATTGGAGGACTCCTGTTCTCTGGGGCCCAATGTCTTCTGTTCAGGAGGTTGGGGGACTTGCTGCAAGTGCAGGACCATGACAGAGAGGACCTGTCATCCCTGTGTCCTGGATGATCATTGAGACCAGATTATCAGTTGTCTTCTTGTCCATTCATCTCCCTTCACTTTGGTCTCCCAAAAGTGAGATCACCTATGAGGTCAGTGGCACCTGTGTCCATGCAGGCAATGGGGCTCCTCTTGCTGTTATTTTCCCTAAGCACTCAGACTCCCTAAGTTCCATCTACCTTACCCAGAATGGCCTGTCTCCCCAGAGAGCCCCTCAGATTGTCTGTTAGAAGCTGTAACCCTGAAGAATGTGGACAGGACATGCTTGCAAACTATTGCATGGAAAATCCCAAACTAAGATACCAAGAGCAAAACAGCATAAAGATTTAAGAAACATAATAAGTAAGTTTAGTCCCATCAGAATTAGAGTCCTTTTAAGTGGATATATTTACACTTGTGATTTTTGGGTCAATTATTCTGGAATTCCTGTGTTTAGCCAGTAATATGTAATTATTCTAGTACAATAAAGTAACACCCCCTTATAAATGTCTATCTTCACAATGCTGGTCCTGGGGTGGGAACCAGTACCTCAAGGTATTTTCCTCAATTCTGTATTTTAGAAAACTTGCACAGTTAGGGAGTGATATGCATTTGACATACAAAGAAGTCAGTGATAATTAACAGCACAAATACATAGAAATGTTTGTGTATAAACTTAACTTTCCATTTTTAAGGCAAAATTCAGAATTGATGCCTCAGTAATATGGCTGTAATCATTTGGTTTTATACTTATGACATCTTCAAGTTTAACTTAGTGACAAAAAACAGAGAATGGCTTTGGATCTCACACAAGATTAAGAAGCAGTATAATTAATAACCTCAAGTATACTTATTACCTGATGTAGAAGTGTGACTCATTTGTGCAATAAGTTATTGAGTTATAGCCAGCAGATGGACACCATAGTTCCAATGACAGCTCTGTCCAAGTGGCAGTTTTCCCACCTGAATGGTACAGAATGGCAGCATGACCTTTGGGTTCTATGGACCAGGTCGTAATGGTCAGGTCCAGATGCCTGTGCGTTGGGCAAAACATCATTGACTGGTTACTGGGCATGTATCATACCCATGCATTATGAGTCTCACAACTTTTGCACATTCTCACAGCAGGCATAATCCTTGCCTTATGCACCTCTAGGACAAGATGTAAGAAGTGCCACATACTGAGCAATAACCTAAAAAAATAGTTGTTCATATAATCAGAGTCATAAACTGAGCATTTAAACAAACCCAGACTCCCTCAAGACTCCATTTCTTTGGTAATCAAAAAGAGAAAACAAAGAAGGAAATAAAGTTGATAAACACAAAATTTTTCTTAGACTTCTTTCTGTCAATTTTCACTAAGAGTGACTCAATACTTTAAAACATTGTTTTAAAGAACAGTAATGATGTATGTGTTGTTGTTGTTGTTGTTTTGAAAAAAATATGTAAATAGTTGGTGAAATCATAGGCAACCTTATCATGCTTAGAAAGTTTCTTTCAGAAATTTTGTCACTGGCCAATTTTTTGTGACTTATGTTAGCTTTCTGATTTTGTTCTTATCTTTATTATTTCACTTTCTGGTAGGTGAACTTCTTACCAGATAGATGTTTTCTTGCCAAAAATATTATCTTACCCATGTCCTTCTTTACGTCACTCTTTTCTTTCTGCTTTTCTTCATTCATGAAATTTACCTTTAAAATAAATTATAAAATTTCTGAATTTGGAAAAAATATTTTTTTCCTAAAATAAAATGTTTTTAAAATATAAGTATCATTATCATTGTCACACTCAGCTGAGCAACAGCTGCTTGTCCCACTGTCCTAGAAGGCAGGCAGACACAGGACACCTACGGGGACCTGGGGAGACCCACTCCATCCACTCCCCCAAACATCACTGGAGTTCAGCTGAGGGGCTTGTATTTCTCCCACCATTGTAAAAGGAAGGCAAAAACATGTCACCTATGCAGACCTGAGGGGCTCTGCCTTAACCTCTCCCTCCACCCACAACAAAGTTCAGCTGAGCTGGAGCCTGCTCTTCCACCATCATAGAAAGCAGGTGGAGTCCCAGCCCAGGCACAG